ACAGGATGCCTCTTCTTCTTGGTTGAAGGTTAAACGGGAGGCCAACAGTCTTTTTGGATTGAGGGAAGTTTCGGGTTTAGGTAGAGTTTAGGGTTTAGGATTTAGGGTTTAGGGGTTAGGGGTTTAGGGTCGAGGGTTTAGGGTTTAGGGCTGTAGGGGTGTAGGGGTTTAGGGTTTAGGGGACTTTCAAGAGAAAGTGCGGACCTCGCAATACGGAGGCTTAAGTGTTTACTATAGGGCCTATAGGGGCCTTAATCAATACCTCTACTCTTTTTTGGGGGGAGGGGGGATCCTCATTATAATTGTAGTATAATATACTATACCCCAAAACCCTACTCTAATTATTGCGGCTCCTTACATTACCAATACTACTTCGGAGGTCTTCATTGTACATGTAGAAGACTTCTAAGTATCCTGGTGATACTCAGGGTTGTGTCTCCCAGGGTGGAGCGAGCCGGTGCATGTAGGATGCAGAGAAGACAGCCGGAGCCAAATGGGGGTTTCCGAAACTTAGGGGACCTAATATAGTACCCTAAATAGTAGGATCCTTATTATAAGGTCCCCCAAAAAAGGGGTAGCGGTACCCCTTATGTTCGGAAACTCCCACATATCAGCTTGGGGATGAGAAACTTAGAGAGGCAAACCAGCCCATCGCGGCCGCATGACAGTTTGGAGGTACTGATCTTCCCATGCCTGCGAAAAGCCCAAAAGCCCATGGAGCTGAATCTTTGCAAGGTTTGGAAGTTCCCATGGACCTTGGGAGGGTCGTGCCGGGTGGGTTGCAGTGTAATGTGGAATGTGATAGCATAGAGGCAGTGTCTGAATGGCTCAGTTGGCTCTGAGATGAAAAGCTCCAGGTCCTGGCCATTTTTGTAGGTGATTCTGCAGAACCGGCGTCGAAGCCAGCCTTCGGTAGCAAGCCTACTGTTTTCTGTTGGGCCTTCTGGCGGTTGCACAATTACACAGATTCAACATGAAGGAGCCACTGCTAGCGCACCTCCTTTCTTTACAGCTTCTCAAAGTTGTGTTTGCAGACCGCATGGATGACAGGAGTACGAGCGCCTGTGGCAGAAGGATGCGAAGGCCGGGCGTTGTCGCGATGTTGCAGTCCCACTGCGCGCTCGGCTCCACCATGCAGCCTTGCCCAAGCAATGTTCATATCAGCTTGTATACTGTATCTTCTACATATAAGGTATCATTATAGTATACTACTATAATATATTATGGTAAATTATAGTATAGCAGAGCGAGTATAGTACGTTATAGCATACTACAGGGAACTCGAACGCTCCTCGGAGAACCCAGGCACCGTCAAGCCTTGGACCCTCCTTCCCTGCGAGGAAAGTGCGCTCTATTTCCACGACGGAGTGCTGAAGCTTGTCAGCAAAGCAATTTCCATTAATAGTTTATAGCGTAATGTACTGCTATATACTATAGGATACTGTAATATGCTATGTATATATATATATGTACATAAACCTAGAATACATGTTCTCGAGACCTGACGAGCAGGGCTCTGAAGAGCCCAGCTGCGTGCGTCGCAAGTTATGTGGGGATCGCCAGAAAACGATCGCTTGACAGCCTCTGCCCCATGTCAGACCAGAGCATGTCTCGAAACCCTAAACCCTAAACCCTCTGCCCCATGTCAGACCAGAGCATGTCTCCAAGCCGAAATTCAAGGAAGTGTGCCAAGCTTTGCGGCGGCGCCTTCCTCGGGAATTCGGCCGAGTCGGCACTCTGCGACGTGCGCCGAGTGGATTGCGGCCCAGCTGTAGAAGGTTAGTTTAGGGGTTTAGGGTTCAGGGCAGCAATGAATGCTTGTGAGAGCAGGACAAACCTCAGAAGTGCAAAGTGCTAGTCAGGACCCTTCATGTCCCCTTAGGATCCTTAGGCAAGAGCAGACTAGCACCACTAAGGAAGGTTCTGCGATCACAGATGGTCAAGACATCAGCCAGTGATGATTCAGGACATTGTCCGAAGTCCCATAGTACCCGTACAGTATGATACGCCTACCTGTTTCTACCCTTGCCAGCTTTAGCTTCGTCTGGATAGGCACGTGACGATGACAACAGAAGCCAAGGATGCTGCCGAAGTCGGATTTAGGGTTTAGGTTTACAGCAGGGTTTGGTCCACAAAATACCCTTTGAGAATTCACATGGCGACGTCACCCTAAATTTTCCCGAGCACCCGGTTTCCTAATTCCCGCCCTGGTGCGTCCACGACTTGCCGCCCTCCGTGGCTTTCAAGACCCTGCAAGAGAGACGTAGTGACGTGGGCATTCCAGCTCCCATATACCTCCTTTACAACCCTAAGGCCCTAAACCCTAAGCCCTAAACCCCTATAACCCTAAACCCCTAAACCACGATCCGATTGAGCTCCCAGGCTGCGACACCGGCACGGCCATCCCAGTCTCCCGAAGCCCCGAGTTCAAGCGCCGCTTGGCAGGGCGTTCCAGCGTAAAGAGGGCAAGCTTAGGGTTCAGGGTTTAGGTAAAGTTTAGGGTTTACAGACTGTGAGCTGCTTCGATAATGTTCCGATGTGATTTTTGCCTCGCCTGTCAGGTATTGTTTGCATGTGCCAGCATCCCGAGAACACCCGACTTTTCGCACACTGCGAGCTCACCGGCAATGAGCACACTATCATGATCTGGCCACCCGGACCCGTTTTGTCATGTCAGACATTGGGACTGTGCCGGCAGTGCTGTTCGAGCTCTTGTGGAGCGAGTATTGCATGTGGCAGGCCTAGCTCCTGTGCTTGTTTCACTGTGCCAGCACGCCATTTCTGGTGCAGTGTGGAATTCATGAGTGTAACGTGCGCGGTCGCTACGTGGTAGTATTTCGCAACTTGTTTCAAGCGCAGTAGGCCGGACCCCGGAAAAGCTGCCCGCACTCAGAATCGGCGACGCTGTAAGACGTTCTTTTTGAAGGGGTACTATACTCCATAAGGCTTACGACATGCAGCACCCGAACCCTCAACCTGAAACCGTAAACCTAAGGGGTACTATACTTTGTGTAAAAAGGTTTCGTCACGAAACCCGAAACCCTGAAGCGGTATTGCTACAGACCTTGCCAGGCTTCTCCGAGTGGGAGTGTCACAAAACCCAGAAGCAAAAGAGCCCGAAACCTTAAACCTAAAGGCATACTCTTAGCCATGGGAGAGGGCAAAAAGGCATACAACAAGGCTTCTCTTGGCCAAGGAAGTGGGCTGGGACCAGCTCAGACCTTCGGCGCCCCGCGGTGCTGGCGGAGGTGGGAAGCAGGAGAAGGGGAGAGCAACTTAGGGAACTACATGCTGACCAATATTATTCCTGAAGAGTCGTTGCTATAGCTATAGTATAATTACAAGTACCAATGCTAATTTGGTGTGTTCCGTTTTATAGTTGTAAGTGCCCCAAAAAATTATTCTAATTATTAAGGCCCCTAGAGTAATCGGTGGCTTCTTGCTGACTATCTGAAGAGTCTTCGGCGTAACTCAACTCCATTCCGGCAGACCGCTTGGATTAAGGGGCCTAACCCCTATATACCCCTTACATAGTCTCATAAAGCCCCTATATAACCCCAAAGGTCCCTTTAAGGGTCTCTCCTTTAGTCCCTTAATTGCAGGTCTAGACTTCCATGCACAGAAGACACCGCTTGGTTTATGCAGGTGGCTGACATAGCTCCTACAATTTGAGCCGAGCTTGGCACAGAGGCTGCTCTAGACTTGCTACCGTCCAAAATCCCCTTAACCATTACTCATTACAGTATACCACAGAACTCTGTTCAATTTATGTAAGGACGGCACTTGTTTGCTGATTGCAGGTCTGCTTCTCTCCGCCGCGCAAGTGCCAGATCTACCAGCTCTGCTTCCTTCCACATGTGGGACAGCCTGGCGAGCACGTGCTGGCAGTGTTGCTTGCCTTCCTTCGAGTTGAATCTAAGAACTCCGCTGTGGAAATCTGTGTAGTCCTGGAACCCTATCCTTAAACCTTAGACTCTAAATCCTCAGCCTAGTATGGTCCCGTGGCTACTCAGGCTGGGTAGGATGAGGGACTGCCCCTGGCTGATGATCAGCATCTATTCCGTTTCCCGGGATAACCGGATGCGCCTGCACAGCATCAAGAAGGTTTTCGTGAACCTTCTGGAGCCTTGGCTGCTCTGAGTTCTGCTCCAGCCCTAGGCACAAAGGACGAAATTCGGGTGCGTCTGTACATCCTCAGAAAAGCTCAGGATAGCACCCTGAGAAGGGAAGGTGCCTGCATTTCGCACTTCGGCATCGCACATTCTGGGCGTACCCTCATCCTGGCTGGCAACCGGCTCCTGCAGCTCTTCTCCATCAAGGCGACTTGCCTGTGTGACAATAGCAGTAATAGTGGTTTGCGGTGATAGTACTACTGGCAGTTGCAAGCGGAGCTTGCAACGGAGGCAGGGACGAAGAACATCGAGCTCTGCGACTTGGAAGGGGCGGTGGACTGCGAGTCGCACATCCTGAAACCCATTTGCAAAAAAGTTTCGACACGGTTTTTGAGTTTGGGGTTCATTGATGCTGGCCTTCGTGAGAGCCCAGTTGCAGAAAAAACAATGGGGAGAGCAGAAGTCCTTGTGAGATAGACTCAGACAGATTGTTTGGCACGCTCAGAGGCTACATCCTTGATTATATTCCATCCTTCGAGGTGTCCCTACTAAAAGTTGGCCGTGCCTCTCCTTCAGGAATCGCGATTCGGCTGCCTCTGACCCGACTACGGTGACGGCTGTGTGCTTGGACTTGATGCTAGCAGGGCTTTTCCATAGGTCTCAGTTGCCAAGGGCCCATGTTTAACCTCAGATCGCTGAGTTGAGTACATTCGCCCCTCTACTCCGCACCAAGTGACTCGTCCCTGGATCCTCCAGCTTTCAGTCAAAGAGCCCAGATGGGTTCCTGAAAGCCCGTCCTCTCGGATTTTCTTCCCGGAACGAGGTGTATTCTCAGCGTGCTGAGCAGCAGAAAGAAATGGGTAGTTTCCTAAATTAGGGTCCCGTTTTAGGTCCCCAATATAGTGCAGCGCCCCTTATCAAGAGGACCCCAACAAGGACCCAATTTAGAGAACCTACCCAAATCCGAGAACGCCTCAGGTGCCCTCTGCCGATGGAGCCGGGAACCCAAAGTCGACTTCTGGACTGGATCTGGCTGGGCCTGAGCCCCTCATCCGATTTTGGAAAAAAAATGAGTAGCTTCTTTTGGGGTCCTTTAAAACTTAGAATAAGGATCACTATTTAGGTTACTATTTTAGGGTCCCCTCATCCGATTTTGCAACGACTTGGCTGACGATGTAGGACTTTCCGAAACTTAGGGGTACCTTAGAATAAGGATCCTACTATTTAGGGTACTATACTGGGGTCCCCTATTTTCGAAAACCACCGATGTAGCAACAACAGAAGAGGAAGAAATGTGGTTGAGGGTTGGTTACTCAGCAAGAGCCCTGGAGCGAAAGATTCCATACGGCAGAACAAGGCATCTTAGGCTGCCGGACACCCTCCATTGCTGCCTTGTGAAGATCTCCAATCCTTCCCTATGCATAGTTGTGCAGACTGAGGCAACGGAGAAATGTTCGGCATTCTGGTTGAGGACAAGCACGGGATTCAGAAGCCATGAAGACGCAACAAATGCGACAAGTGCAAACCAAAGCCGAAGCGCCCGCTCTTCCTCACAGAAAGCTCCCAGACCGGCACACCCTAAACCCTAAACCTTGGTGAAACGCAGTTAGGTCTCCGCGACGCTCCTCACCTCCACAAGCCTTGCAGGAGCATGCGCCAGAGAAGTTCTCCGTGCACAAATCTTCGGGACGCTTCAAGCGGAACACGCACTGCCAGGCGAAGCAAAGCTGACTGTGGAGCAGTTCCCATGTCATGTAGATGCTCATCCTCGACATAAGGAGCCCCCCCAAGTCGGGACACCTCCCGAGTTAGACACCTCAAAGCATCTTCAAGCGACAGGGAGTGCCCATCTACGCCATCATGTCGGTGAGTCAGCCCTCGGCGGCGTCTGCTCGCGACTTACTGGCCGAGATTGCACTCATTGCTTGAATCAATTGCAGACCCGCTTCCGATGAGTCATGGCTCGGGAGTATCGGGCTTCTTTGGCATGTGCTGTCGATGCACCTGAATTTTATGTCTTCTGTCATCGTAGTAGCTCAGCTCAGCGGCCGTAGCTCAGACCTGCAAGTCCCTAGAACTATCGTGAAGTTGCTTCGCACAGACGTACTTACCAAGACCATGAAAGGCCCAAAGCATCTACTACAGCCTCACTATGCGACGACGGGACATGTGCCCCAACACCGTCCTCTCGATCGGTGCTGAATCTGGGCCTGAACTTCCGGCCGGCTTTAGTGGCTTTAGTGGTTAATTGCATGACCCTTGTCATTCGTTCAGCTCGGAATGCATTGAAGCCATGCCTGGCTCGTCCGAGTGTGCGAGTCGAAACCCGAACCGTCCCTCCAACCACTGATCCATGCCCCCCCCTACTTGGAGGTTCATGGGTAGTTATAAGTTGGGTCATAAGTCCCCTAATTTGGGTTATAACTATAGATTCCCTACTTATAACCCCACTTATCACTACCCATGAACCTCCAAGTAAGGATGGGAGGCTTCTGCGCACGGAGCGCTGCACGCAAACGCACCAGTGGGTCCCTTCCGGCGAGCGCCTGTGCTTCCGATAGGTTCAGCGGTGGCATGGTGAACTTTGTACATCTCGTGGATTGCATTAGAAGGAGCAGCTGGATCTGGTGAAAGGCCTTGTGATTAGATTATTGTAATTGTTGGCCTACAGTTGACGTGGCCGTTCGACCACAGCGCCGTCACACCGCCCCCTTGCCGAGTTGGATTTCAGCCACCCCGCACAAGGACCCATGACCTCAGCTTCCGCTAAAATCCTAAGCCCTACCATGTGGAACCCTTGCCTGCCTCGCGCGAGTGTGAGAGTCGAAACCCTAAACCCCTAAACGCCCTAAACGCCCTAAACCCTAAAACCCTAAACCCTAACCTAAACCCCTAAACTCCCTAAACCCTGGAATTCCGAGGTGGTCGCTCCCCGTCCCGGGCAAAGGCTTTGCAGCGGCCTCTTCGGCTTTGTTACCCTCGCTGCTGCTCTTGGCCCCTTGGACTCCGGGGGGTTAGGGGTTCCTTTAAAGGGATCTATAAGGGTTTAGGGGTTTAAGTTTCCGTTCAAGGGATCTATATGGGATCTATAAAGTTTTAGGGTTTAGGGGTTCAAGGGTTAGGGGTTGAGGAGTTCAAGGGGGCTCAGCCAGGCCTGACGCTTCGAGTGCCTGTGAGAGAGAGAGAGAGAGAGAGAGGAGTTCAAGGGGTTCAAGGAGTTTAGGGGTTTAGGAGTTTAGGGGTTAGGGTTTAGGGTTTCGGGTTTTAGAGGCTTTGGGACGTCGGCTGCCCGAGCTACGCTACTACGAGCTTAAGGGTCTTTGCTTGACATGCTTTGGGGATCTGTGAGTTCAGACGTCCCCACCCAGAATGCGAAAGCCTTGTGACCAGCGAAGCACTGTGCGTTCCGACATGGACACGGCGCACGGCAAGGAAGTGCGTAGTTTCATGGCACTCAAGGCTAGGGCTAGGGGACATCACGCTGAACCGTCCAAGTAAGCCGGTTGTTTTCGGTGAGGCTACCCATAGGCCCCTAAGTAGTTCCTTTTTGGGATTACCTTATAGGATTCTAAATATAAATCATAAAAAGGAACTACTTAGGGGCCTATGGGTAGTAGCACGCTCCTCAGCGCATTCTGTCTCAGGCAGATGAGGCGACTCAGCGCATGATGGTGGTTGATGAGCGGAATCCCTCCCAGGTTTCTGATGCGTGCACATGCTCACTGGCATAGGAACTGAACCAAGTTAGAAGAAACCCGTTGTTTTTTTCAACGTTGACCGGCTGGAGCGTGGGGTCCCACTGAAGCTGCAGATCCACATTGGCGACCGCTCTGCCTTCGCAAAAGAGTTGCTGATGTCAAACCCCACACTCAGCAAATGCATTCTTCATTTAAGTGCAGCTGATTAATTCGATGCAGTGGCAAATTCGCGCATGTGGAGTGTTTGGTTTCGTGGCTTCAGAGCCGGGACAAAGGCCGTTCACTCGAAAGGTTTTTCGGGTGGCAATTCGCGCATCTTTGCAACCAGTCCGAGCGAGAGCTCCAAAAAAAGTGCCGCCCGGTGACAGCGAGCATTCGACAACGATTGATATCGGGGCCTGAATGATTTTTGCGTGGGACGCCTATATACTGCGCTCTCTATCCCGAGTCGCCAGGGTTGCCCTGTTGGTAATCCGTAATAAACAATAGATAATGTTACAACATGATATATTATGATACTGTTGATGATATAAATCCTGCAGGGTCCTTATGGACCCTAATTAAGCCATAGGAAATATGGTATATTCCCTATTATGGGTAATGCAGGATTTATATCATCAACCGTATGGTATGGCGGACCCAAGCAAGTTGGCAGGCTCCCAGGGCATTGGCCGGCGGATGCGCTCCCAAACACTCCTAGTCAGTGTCAGCCCCAGCCCGTCCTGAACCCGACCACAGAACCTTGGTAGTCATATGCATATATATATATACACGGACATGTATACATACATACATACACACATACACACATGCATACATGCATGTGTTTGAAAAAACATCACTGTAATGCATCCCGAGCCCCTGGCACAGTAGGCGTGCTGTAGATCTAACAACAAGTGTCAGAGGCTGCGGCAAAGCCGCTGCAAGTCCTTTGCCTGGACATCCGACCCAGCGATGCAGCGGACGTCGACCTCCTGGCCCTTCGATCAAACAAAAGGGCGGGGGAAGGCTTCGGCGGAGTCTAGGGTTTAGGGGCGGGGTTGGGCTTTGTTTGAGGGTTTAGGGGTTAGGGCCGTAGGGAGTGTTCGGGATTTTTGCTGGGAGTTTGGGCTCAAAAGGCTTTTGCAGACGGATTCCGCTTTGTTTGTTCGGTCTTGAGCTTCTTTTTGAAGACGTGTCTGTCGTAGTTGGGTAACATTTTACATGTTTATGGTTACTTAAATTCAATAAAGGAACAGAAATGTCAATTTTCAACACTATCCCAACCATGAACTAGGTGTAGTATGGGCCTCTCGCTCGCCTTGCAGTGACCTAACACGTTTTCAGGGAGCTTCTTTTGAGTATATCTCTTGTGCAAGTACGACCCATGCTTGAGTGGAGTCGGACAAGAAAGCCGATGCAAGCCCGAGTTTGGGTAAATTTCTTGTCTTACTACGAGAACCAAACTTGCTTGAGTGGAATCGGCAAAGAAAGCCGCAAGTCCGAGTTTGATGTCTGCAAGCTTCCGTGCTGCAGTTTTGCCGACATGAACGTCACTTAGCCGCATTATATTATAATGTAGCTATTCTGTGTTATTCTCATTATTGATATTATTGTTTTTATCAGAGTATGATTGGTTGAAGTTGTCAGGGTCCAGGGCAGGATCTTGCAAGATACTTTTGATACTTATTATTATATGCATGCGTGAAGAGGGCCGTTAATTCATCCTCCTGAGAACCCCCCACCCTCCATCTGTTCCTGCAGCCGGTTGGTGTCTCCGAGGCAGACCTCCGCAATCCTGCCGCCATCCAGAAGATACTTTTTGACAAGCTGCTGGGACGCAAGCTTTTGAGAGAACCATGGCCAACTGGTAACCGGAAACCCTAAACCAACAAAACGGTTACGACTCAAGCCAGCTGAGATTCGAGCAGTCCTTGCCGTCGCCACACTGCCCCTCCTTGGCATTTCCTCCGCCATGGCAGCCGCCGACAGGACGAGGGGTGGTGCTTTGATGGAGCTTCAGGCGGAGCAGGGCTTGAAACTCTTGAAGGCCACGGAGGCTTCCGGTGCGGAGTACGACGTCGCTGCCGCGGAAGCATACCGGAGAGAGGTTGAGGCCCAGATCGCCAAGCTCGAGATGGAGGCCACGCAGCTCACCGGCAAGGACAACAAGAAGGAGCGTTCCGCCAAGGGCAAAGAGGTGGCTGACCTGAAGAACGAGCACAAGTATGTGGATGCCTGCAAGATCGCGAAGGGTTTAGAGCCGAAGTTTGGCTTCTTCATCACGAAAGAAGCCGTGCGGCCGGAGATCCAGGTCGCAGAGCCCGCTCCGGAAGCCGTGGAAACCAGAGAAGGAGCCCAAGAAGGAGAAGAAAGCCGAGAGCGCAGGACTGAGCAACGAGGAGATGAAGGAGCTTGAGGATCTGAAGCAGAAGATCGTCGAGGAGAAGGCCATTCTTAAAGAAGAGGGCTTGAGCGGGGGACAGATCAACAAGAACGAAAAGATCGTGGCGATGGTCACCCGATTGAACGAGCTCAAGGAGAAGCAGGATCCCGGAAGCTCCAAGAAGGAAAAGGACGCCAAGAAGGACTCCAAGAAGAAGACGCCTTTGAGTGCAGAAGAGCAGAAGGAGTACGCCCAGCTTCAGGGCGACATTGAGGTCTACAAGGCCAAGCTGCGAAACGAGTTCGGCTACACCAACAAGGACATGAAGGCTGATCCGGACTTGAAGGACATGGAGGCTCGACTTGCGGCCTTCGAGAAGCGCAGCTGATGAGGCTGACGGGCGAATTCAGTCCTGCCAGCGGCGGTGCACCGCACAAAAGCCGTGTGTGGTGCATTTGCTGGCCGGAACAGGTATATATATTGTAGTATGAGCCTGCCTTTGTCAGGGCAACGAATGCCGTGGATGCGATAAGCTGCAGTGTGATCGGAAGAGACCCTGACTACGAAGTTTACCTGGGAGATCTTGACATCTTTTTTTTGTCCCACAGCATAGATCGCTGCTTTACACGTAGCTGGCAATCGTTTTGCTGAGTCGGTGCAGCCCAGAAGAGGAACTGCATCATCGGGCTTAGCCGGGCCCAACTGTTTGTGGTCTTTAAAGGGAATGGAGTGTCGACCTCGTTATTGTTGGCTACGCCGTAGTTACCATCATTTACCCGCAGCTCTACACAGACAGGTCGCGTTTCGTGCATTCCATGCCTCAGATTTCAAAGTTTTCTAAATGTTCCTGGTTATCCGCCATGGCTGCACACAACCAACCAGGACTGCACAGCTCCTGTTCCCTCTCGCAGAAAGTCGTGCACGTGGCGATTAACCACAGCCCTCGCATGCTAGCGAGCTGTACATTGCAAAGCCCCCTCGTGGCAAGAAATGTAACTGGTGGCTTGGTCCGGAGGGCGCGCGGGGGATAAGAAGGACTACAGCCCTTGCCAGGCTTGTCCGAGTGTGAGTGCCCAAAAATCCAATAGATTGCATGGCATTGAGAGAGAACGGACAACCTTAAATAATCCCCGACACCGTAACATCTAAACCAAGGGTAGAAACCAATTGATGTACTGGATCAGAAGCACATTGATGCCGTTCAGACCATATCGATGGTTGTGCCATCAGCCTCTTTTGACAACATGTGATGTGTTTTGTCCTTCACTTCCTTCCGTCTTCCGCCTGTGACAAACATTCAGCAGAAAGCCTCGTAAAGATATACGCTTGATAAGCTCTCGGCGTTGCTGCTCGCTTCGCGTCGTGCCTTGAGGTATGCAGTGCAGGAAATGGTGATTGCTGTGAAGCCACCACTGCTGGGACCCTCCTACCAGACCTTCATGGAGGTGCCTCGCTGGCGCTTGAGCATGGCTTTCTGAAATCTGACGGCGCAGGACACAGAGACGTGCGGGCCCTCATTGGCATGGGATCCATATTTAGATTGCTAGTTAGCGGCTAGTTGTTAGATATGTGTAGACTGGATTCTAGGGTAGTGATTGGATGTAGGCCTAGGATGTTCATCGCAAAGACAGGGCTTCCCCAAACTTCCCACACCGTTACGCAGGAGATCCTCACAGTTCCCAAGGCATACTTACAGACCCGCGCAACACGTCTGCATCCCAACCTCGCAGATCAAGGGTTTAGGGTTTAGGGTTTAGGGCGTCTGCATCCCAATCTCGCAGATCAACCTCGCTGGTCTCGCGGATCTCGTGAACATGGCCGAGCGGCACAACGTCAGAAGCCTGCTCTATGCTCCTCGGCCAAGAGCACTCCACAAGCTTCTATGTCACAGCACCGCCGTCTAGACTTGTTGAGAAGCATTGAAGCATCATTATACGCGCAGCTTCAATGTGCTGCAAAGGTGCGGTATGCCCAAGATTTGGGCTCTATTATAAGCACAGGTAGGAAGCGACCAGGTCCGAAGCTTCCCAGGCCTGATCTTGCAGAGTTGATGGTTCCGCGCGCATATACCAGGTCTCATCTTTTGCAGCCTGCAACCACTGGGTGCCACATCACAACGTGGCCGACTGCTCAGCTTCAGACACTGCGCTTTGCTATACGGTATACTGGAGATTTATCATGCACACAACATCTGTGCCGGCTGTGAACAAGGCAGAGTCAGATCCGGCAGCGAGCCCGCCCCTGACGTCCTTGCGGTCGCCCTACGACCTCTCCAAAGCCATGACAGAGCAGAGCCTTTGCTAAATGGCTCCATGCACCGTTTATGGCCTATTGCAAAGTGCCCTTCTTGCTTGACCGCCAGCTTCCCCCGTCTGTCTCCCCATAAAGCATCTCTTGCTCAGCGTGATCGAACCATACTCGCTGAATGCATGTGTGCTTGCAGTTGTGTATGCACTCAGGTTTATTCTGCAGAAACATTCCGAGAGTGGAATGCGAACGGTTAGCATCCGAATCGGCGGCGCCGGGATCCCTGGCCAGTCGTTGTCACCCTGCGAACCCTGCTGCTGTTACTGTGAACCTGTGTCGTTCAGCATGATTTGGCAGTGTGTGTTTAGCTCTCTGCTGCACAGCCCCACTGCCATTGTGAAGCATGCTAGACGCCATACTCACTCGCTTTTACCAGTAGCAACAACGATCGCACTCGCCTGCCGCAGAAGTGTCCACCACGTTCGCACTGCCAGAGCAGCGAAACTCGCCGAACCTATTCAATCTGTAAAAGAGCACTCAGATGCTGCAAGGTCTATGGGGACAACGACGACCAATACTGGAATCGGCGGCTGCCGTTCCGGTTGTCCCTAGACATCAGCGGCCGGAATGCAATTCATCAAGCAAGCAGTTTTGACTTTTGTTGTCCGAGTAGTATGTACATGATTTGGGACTAGTCTAATGTCGAAGCTGAGCGTGCGTTGTGTATGCATGTGCATCAGAAGCGCACGTGAAACATGTAATTTCATTACCAACAGCTGTAAAGAGCTGTAATTAGGCATGCATATGTTGATGAAAATACTTGTCTCTCTCTCTCTCTCTGTGCAAGGATTTTGTTCATGACATATGTACACATTCGGTACATACATATATACTTACTTGCATTCATGCATATTTACATACATGCAAAGATGGTCAGAGAGGGCCATTTAGCCAGCCCCTTAGTCCTGTTGTTGGTTGATGGCCTAGATACCCTTGTCCACGGTTGTCGGTGATCAGCAAACACCACCAGCGAACTGCTAATGTAGATGCGTGATGAAGCCTCGTCCAGACACTTTCAGGATATTTTAGGATGTGAAAGATGGTTTTGCTCTAAAGTCGACGACAGAGAGCAACCAGAGAGCGACTCCCGATCGATGTGCAGCGTTACACCCTCACTGTATCCTTGGGCTAAGATGTGAAAGCAATTGGAGTTTTGAAGTGCTCCGAGGCGACCAAGATTCACACCCTCCGAAAATCGATGCCAACTACGTGGAGAATGTTGCAGAAGGCCGGCAGACACAGCCCACGAGAATGAGCACATGGCACGGCCCAGATGAAGATTCTGATTCCTAGCATTCGTGCTGCCTTTATCAATGCACAGCACCACACTGAAGGCATGCTTCGAGTCGTTGACCGTTTGTCGGCAGATGCCTCCGTGGGTGGACGCAGGGAGCCAAGCTTTGCCATCCATGTATCTGCTCATGTGGCATGTGAACTTACATCACAGGGCCAAAATCGCCAGTTCGGGCTGATAGAATGCTTAAGTCTGCCACAGCTCTGCCTCGATGCGTGTCCTTGGCAGTACCCGTCGCACCCAAGTACTTGTTGCTTTTGTTGACCAAGAGGCCCCCAGTATTCCCTTAATTAAGGAATATACCTTAAATCATAATATTAAGGCCCCTATAATTTGACGGTATATTCCTTATTTTTGCTGCACCTCCGCTTCCTCTCAAGCAAGTTTAGCTGCCGTGGCGCATTCCGCAGCCCTCGCCCCGACGGAGACATGGCGTTGGGCGTGGCATTCTTGTGACTGCGCCGCATTCTGCCGCACTGGTCTAGATCCAATGCGTTTTGAAATGTTTTGAAGATCACGTCCTTGCCTTTTAGCCGTGCATCACAAGCAACCGATACGGCCTGCCTGAGATTCTATGATTTTCAGCAGCGGCATCACGCGATCGTCCTTTTATGCTGGCCCCCGTCATTTTCGACGAACCTAGGCTGGTCGTGTCGGTTGCCGCACAATCGACGACGCCGAAGCCACTGACTGAGGCCCAGAAACAGACGACTTACCACATGGACGCTTATTCGGATGGGGTTTAGGGTTTAGGGTTTAGGAGTCAATGCATCTAGAGTCAGCCGTAAGTTTAACCATGGACCTGGACCTTTGCAGGAGCCAGGCGGCAAGCACTTCAAGTCTTCGCAAGTATGAGCAGATGTAAAGACAGTGCAAGACAGGTCCGTGTTGCATGGTATGCCAAGCTTGCGAGAGTTTCTCATGAGCATCATGATCGTCACCATCCGCAGCAACACGATTCTTCATTCAAACCGCGCTTATCTGCATAATCATCACCATCACTATTATGTGATGCCATGTGTTTCTTGTCGTCTTAAGTGGTGTCCTCTCCTCTCGCTAAGTTTTTCACCGGCCTCTCCTCAACAGAACTGTCGTAAATCTTGGCCACATCCTCAGTTGCCTCACCCGCGCGCAAAGGGTGCGCAGACCGCCCACTACTGCTCAATAGTCCACCCGACCGCTGGGCCTGCCTTGAGGCATGTCCTGAAATATTCCTGAGTGTGCGGCAGGCGCAAAAGCAAGCGCTCTCCGAGTATCAGCAGGACTGGGGAACAGCAGAGGGGTCGAACGGGCAGCAAAATCAGCCGCTTGTTTGGGTCCCATCTAAGAGAAGAACAAGTGGAACAGGTGAAGAAGCAGTACTCCGATACTCTGGAGAGTGCCAACGACAAGCCCTGGGCCCAGAACTTGTTGAGATTGGCCCACTTGGCAGTTATTTCTCCTACCTCTGATTTCGATTAATACTCTGAGTGCCAGTAGCACTACTAATCTATAATCAGAATAGTACTCCAGAATAATAATGTTTCAGTCTGTCAGTCGCCCCATGGCCTTTTTTTCAATGCTGCCCCAATCTGCAAGACCCAGGCTCAGCAAGCTCCAAAGTTGGCTGGAGGCCCCGCGGGTCCGGTAGAGAAAGGGGGATAAGGGTTTAGGGATTAGGGATGATTAGGGTTTAGGGTTTAGGGATTATAGTTTAGGGTTTAGGGTCCGGTGTAGAAAGGGGGAGAAGCCAGCAACCGGCTGCGATCCGCTGCTGATGAGGGGCAGGTGGGCATCTTGCGGATGAACGTGGGTCCTTAACTAAGGAATACACCTAAACCCTAAACCCCTAAACCCTAAGTTATATGGTGCTTGCTTAGTCTGTTGATGAAAGGATCGACGCAGAAATGTGCCGGATCGGGTCGAGGGTGAAGCTGACAAAGAGCTCTCGATGCCCACAGACCAGCACTGAGAGATGTGAACGCCAAACCTTAAGAAGATCATGCAGTAAATCATCATAACAGCATATCAGAATGTGATTAGCACAACATAATATAGAATACAGCGTAACGACCCGCAATCCACATCCTTCGATGCTGCTGAAAGTGCGCTGGAAGCTCTGGGGTCTGAAGAGCAGCATAGGTTGTTCGGAGGGCCCTACTTTGATCCCGTAACTTGGGTAGAATAAGCACATAATTTGTTATCGTAGGGTACCATGGAGGATGCGTCTCGAAAGTCCTACTCATACTTTTGCAGCCAAGACGCTTATGAGTTTATGGATGCGATGCGCGATAAGTAGTTGCAGTGCGCATGTTCCCTTTGAGCTGCATTCATTCCTGAAGACGTGCCCTGATACCTGCCGTTCCGTTTTGCAACACAGGCGCTTCGAGTTTCGCGCCCCCTTGTTGTCGAACCCGGAATCGTCACCTCGCATGCCGCGCCGAGTTGTGAGCGCTGAAATCACGACTCTGCAAGGGCATCGAGAGCTCCGCGCAGAAGCCAGACGAGGCTGAGTCCGTGGCGAGCCAAATCCAGTGCCTGGCCTGGAGATCGAACAGTACCACGTACCTGCAAACAACAAGGAGAATAGTTGAGCCGGAAAAGAAGAAGTGGTAGAGAAGTAGTTATTGTTGTTGTAGCAGCAGCGGCAGCATGGCAGCAGCAGCAAGAGACGTAGTATTTCTGGCAGCAGTTCTACAATAACCCCAGCATGATGCTGCTGCGACCACCATGACCGACTACTGCTGCTGCTGCTGCTGCTACTACTACTACTACTACTACGACGACTACGACTACGACTACGACTCCCACTACCACTACCACTACCACTACCACTACCACTACCACGACGACTACGACTAAGACTACGACTACTACTATTATTATTCTTATTACTACTACTGCTATTTGCCAGTTGCAGACCCTGCATCGTAGGTTCGTCCTAGCCAGGCGGGAGGCAAAAACTACTACTACTACTACTACTACTACTACTCTTGCTGCTGCTGCTACTACTACTACTACTACTACTAACTACTACTCTACTACTTACTACTTACTACTTACTACTTACTACTTACTACTCACTACTCACTACTCACTACTCACTACTCACTACTCACTACTCACTACTAACTACTACTACTACTACTACTACTACTACTACCTACTACCTACTCCTACTACTACTACTACTACTACTAGTAGTACTACTACTACTACTACTACTACTACTACTAACTACTAACTACCAACTACCAACTACCAACTACCAACTACTAACTACTACTACTACTACTACTACTACTACTCTACTACTACTACTACTACTACTACTCCTACTACGACGACGACGACGCCTAATACTACTATTGGTACTTTTGCTGCTGCTTCTACTACTTCCTTCTCCTATTACGCCTACTGGCTGCTTCTTCTGTTACTTCTTTTACTTATACTATTATATTGCTATATTACTACTACTACTACTACTACTACTACTACTAGTACTACTACTACTACTACTACTACCACCACCACTACTACTACTACTACTACCACGACCACGACGACGACTACCACTGCTATTGCTACGACCACGACTACGACTGCGGCTACTACTCCTCCTAATACTACTATTATCACTACTACTACTACTACTACTACTACTATTACTACTATTACTACGACGACTACTACTACTACTACTACTATTACTACTATTACTACGACTACTACTGCTGCTGCTGCTACTACTGCTGCTGCTGCTGCTACTACGACTACTGCTACCACTACTGCTGCTGCTGCTGC